AAATCCAGAATCTATGAATATGTAAATACTTTTCATTGTCATCAAGTTTAACTACTAGACATTAGACCTACAGCCGGTCTATTCAGTTTACAATGATAGAAAACAGTGAAAAGGGTCAAATCCTTATATTTAAGAAGCTGGAACCAGCAAGAGTTCTGGCATTTCTGCTTAGAAATTACTAATCGATTTATCAATTATCAAAATTATTGAGAATTCATTTTCTGTCAATCAACTAATTAATGAACTGGTAATATGTGCAGCTCTACTAGACACTCTTTGTCTCATATTTCACTGAAATGTCCGTTCTCAGTGTATTGGAAGCTTCAGGTTTCCACATTACACTTGCATACTGAACCACGAGTGGTTTCCAAACTAGTTGTAATGTCACACACTGTTCAACCGTACATGTCTTACATTCTGATTTAATGTGAGTTCAGAGAAACTTTCCCCCCTTCAGGAGATCAGTGTACACAGCCTTCTAGTATCTGCATACTGAACCAGGAGTGGCTTCCAAACTAGTTGTAATGTCACACACTGTTCAAACATACATGTCTTAGATTTTGATTTAATGTGAGCTCAGAGAAACATTACACTTCAGCAGATCAGTGTACACTAAGCCTTCTAGTATCAAACTCTGCACGAACACCATCACCATTCTGCACAGTTTAGTTTCACATCCATGTGAAGTAACAAAAAAACAAAACACATTTTTGAGTGGAGGTGCACTTAAAGCTAAATAATTTAAAACTGGATTATCTGAAAAATGCATTCACACAAAGATGAAAACAGAGTGGTTTTTGGGAGATTCTTGGCTTTCTAAACTCAAACTTGGTTGTAGGCTGTCCGCTTAACGGTGGCGACACATGTCTCAAAGTGAAACAGTATCTGTGTGGTTTTAAAGCAGAGTGTTGATGGACAGTGTGTTCAGTGGGCGCTTGCCCTCTCCTCTGCTCTGCTGTTGCACTGGACGGGGCTGGTCCTCTGCCTGGGACTCTGTGTGGCGATTGGAGATTCCAGGCCGGGCCCCGGAGCCTCCCCCCTCTGACACACTTTCAGCGCTGCACCACCAGCATGACTTTCATTGCTTTCCAAGGGCGGGTGGTGCACCTTCAGGAAAAAAACAAACAAATATGGAGGCCGTAGGAGTGCAAGTGTACAGACCCTGCTCATTTGACCGTCTGTGAGTATGGCACCTCTGCGTCTGTGCTATTATTTGCATGCGTTAAGGCATGATTTTGGAATCTATTGGTGTGTGTACAACACTATATGTACACATGAAGGACAGTGTGCACAGAGCTATGTGTGAGAAGTATATACAATCATAGCTTCAGCTAATTTCTCCTTGTACAGTGTGTTTTGTGTTGAATAGTTTTGCCTGGGTCTGATTAATAATCAAAACCAAATAGTTGTTTGAACTTGATTATGGGTATGTAACTCATAAGTGAATACTTATAGTTAGTAGGTAGTTTAAAGATTTTGTATCACTTTAAATATTATAATTCATCTTTTGGAAGGTAAAGAGATAATCACAAAAGAGTTTAAAGATGTTTGTGTACAATAGTAACAGCAATTATATCTGAATGTAATGCTATTAGTTTTTAGATGAGGTTGTTGTTATGTCATTATTGTCCATTAGGCAGAGCTATTAGGTCCAATCAGCTGCAGTATTAATGGTGCAATGTGTCTGTTCTGAAAATTGTTTTCCTTTATCAACTCAGTGTTTTGACTCGAATCAGACCTGCACTGAACATTGTTGGTCATCTTCTCTTCTGTCTGGACGCAAAGCTGTTTAATTTCCCTGTTTGATTAATGTCTGTCTGTCTGTCTGTCTGTCTGTCAGTCTGTCTGTCTTTTAAACCTGCATCAAAGACTCAGCTCTGACTGTTTGACTAATAATGAGTATGATGGAGTAGCGTAGTAAGCAGAATCAGAGGAATCATGAGTTGGGTGGGTGGGGCTCTTCAACACTGTGCAGCCATTGTTGTTTTTTGTGTTTTTTTTTCTCTTTGAGATACACACAAACATGAGAGGAGGTGCGTGCACACACACACACAGAGTGAAAAAGTTAAAAAGGACAAAAGAGCTTTTTATGTGTTTCAGTGGTCTGTTTGGCAAAAAGCCAGCAAACAGCCAAAAGGAAGAAACACAGAGAGAGAGAGAAGTGGAGCTTTGCTTTGCAGAGAGGCTTCTGGTCATTCATGCACACACACACACACACACACACACACACAAACACACACAAGTCAATCTGATAATCAGGAATGCATTATAGAAAATTATAAGGAGCTACAACTCACAATAGATCTCTGCTATAAACCATTCTCCTCTATTTGGACACGTGTTAGGATTAATTTCCTGTCATTATTCAAGCATAATTAAACTCTTCAGCTACAGTCCTTTGATGGTGTTGATATTGTTAACTTTTCAAATGAAGTACAGCCTGACCGATACATCAGTATGGCTGGTTTTATCGGCCGATATTAGCTTATCACAGATTTGTTTGAGGGCATTTAAAAACAGTGCCGCCATTACATGTGTTGTCCACCAGAGAGCCCTGACAACTTTATATTATGACTGTGAGTACATATGTTGGTCAACGTTCTTTAAAAAACTAATTTAAGGGACTCTCATCAAAAAGTTGTTTGTGTTAAACAAGAAACAAATACCTTCTAAAATATTGTATAAATATATATAGATAAATGCTATTTTCAAGATGTGACAGCACAGTTGGTTGCCCTGGCTTTACAAAGATTTTGCTTTTATCACGTTTAAGCCATGCTAGTGGCTCCAGGGATGGCCTGCTCAGTCTGTCCACTTTGGTCCAGACTGAAATATCTGAACAACTAAATGATGGATTGCCATGAAATGTTGTACAGACATTTATTCTGCCCAAAGGACAAAACCCACTTACTTAGCTTCAGGGTAACATTGTCTCTGAGCTGCCTTGGCTTTACAAAGCACTTGTTTAAATTGTGCTTTTCTCACCAGCATTAAGCATTATTTGCCATTACAGTAAGTATAATTTCTGTTAATATCATTATTTTTCTAAAGAATCTAGTATCTGTTGGGCTACTGCTACCATCTCACAATGCTGTAATCTGTCCTCTTTAAAATTTCTGCTTCATTATGTATAGTTTTTGTATTATCATTCTGAAGTCGGCATAAAGGGAAATGTGTAATGTACCTTTACTTGTATAGTCAATAGTTCGATAAGTATTTGAATGTGTATATAGTAATATATACAGTATCAAATATTGTCTGATTTTTAAGCCATAACTAAATAAATAATAAATAATTTTAGTGTGAACTTTAAGTGTAAGGTCCACGTGTTTAAAGACAACAGATCTGTCTTTGCTCTCTTTTCCTCTCTGGTGCCTGGAAGTGTTGCTACACGGTCATAAGGGAGGGTTACTTTAAAAATGGGATTCGATACAATTACTATTTAACTGTTAACTGTTTGTCACTTAATCCTGGTATCATAATATTAAAGTAAAAACAACTTGATTTTGGATTACATGTGTAAATAAAGAGAAGAGAAAAGAAATATAAATAAGATGACGTGTATTCTGTAAAACAACAGAGCAATGCAACGTTAGAAAGAACTAAATATGGAGACATTGTCACACAGTGAAAGCAGTATTTTCACTAGAAGCCATGATAATGGGTTGGCAACTGTAAGCTAAGCTATGGTTTCACTGTGCACATGCATGGTAGTATATCGTCCTTTAAAAAAAAAATAGGATTTTAAAATTGTAATCCTGCTAATGATCCCCATTTTGTAATGTCATTTTAATTGATCACAGTTACCTTTTTTTGTATTCTGATTATTTAACTCTGTTACATTTAATCTGTTACTCCCCAAGCCTGACCGTCGTTGTTGTTGTTGTTGTTGTGTTTGAAGTGACAAAGAATGTGTGAATGTGAAACTATTGTGTTCTGTGGTTTAAACTTGAGTTGACTGATATGTTCAGCTTCACTTTTTAAGACGCAAAACAGATAAAACATTTGAAAGTGAAAAGGAAACATCCGTTTACTTTTAAAGTTTATTCCATCTGGAAATGAGGAAGAAAAGGAAATGAAGCTATTTTTTTCTTAAAATTCAAACACTCAAACAGCAAGGCAGATTAAAGAAATAAATCAAAGGATTCAGCTCCAGCAGGGGAAATGAACAGAAAGAAAAGCTGTTAAAACATTAGATCCAGTGACTTTTGTTTGAAACTTAAGGGATGAAAGGAAACACAATCGCCCAAAGTCACACAGACAAAGGAATTATGCATATGAACACTAAACCTGATTCTATGTATTGGGTGAAGTACAAAGGAACTGGACGAAAAAAAAGTAGCTGTCGGATTGAGAGACCTCAAGTGCTGCAGTACTTTCAGAGAACAAGCTACAGTCTTTGTTCTGCTGTAATTCAGTCATTAAACCTACTTGTTAATTGATTTATCCGGGATCAATAATCAGTTTATCTGCATCAGCATTGCCTTTAGAATTGACTGAGACAGTTTATGTTAAACTTAAAAGATGAAGGTGTTGGTATTTGACTGTAGATAATGGTCAAAAAAAGTGGTTTTATGTTGTATCGTAGCATATTTTTGCTCTTGTGCAGGGTTCAGTGGGTGTGGTACCAGACAATGAGATTATATGCAGTGCTGGGGAGGGAGAGGAGAATTATGGTATGTTGAGGGCTCAACACCCACTGAATACGCTGTCGACCGAAGCTGTGTTTGACTTCACTGGCTAATTAGTGCGATTACTGCACAGCTGGATTGGCCAGACGTTTTACTGAGTTTTGTCAAAAGGATCACTCACTCGATGAAGGCTTTATACCGACAACTTCTGCTTCAGCAGAGTCTCTCTATTTTAGGACTGCAGGACTCTGTCTGGGGAGTAACCGTCTAAATTTAAGAGAGTGGGAAAACTGAAGCAACCTTTTTTACGAAAACTTCCTCTTTTTTGTGTGTTACATTCTCTCTAATGGAATACAGCTTTGTGAGTGCAGGTGGAAAATTTTAATTGATGCCACAACAATGAAGTTGATTCATTTGTTGCATTTATATTTTTAAGAAACAAAATAGTAACTGCAGAAAAGTAGGGGTGCATTTTTTTCATTCGCCAATTATTTTCTTGAGTATTTTCCAAACCCAAAGACATTTCATTTACATCATAAATGGCAAAGAAAATAAACAAAATCTTACATCTGACTAGCTGGACTAAACTCCACTCAAAAATCTGTTTTTCTTCTCATTCCTACAGTTGGATGTTTGAGCTTCACTGCAGAACGATGTATGTGCAGAGTTTGACACATGTTTTCACATTCATCTGCTGAAAGTGGAAAGTTTCTCTGTGCTCATTGAAAATCCAGTTTTTCTCACCTGCAAGCATGATTCATAACATCCCAAAAAATTTGGAAGTCAGTCCTGGTCCAGTATACAGCTTATACAATAGTGATGTAGAAACTTGAAGCCACCCGTGTAAATACAGTAGGAGACATCTTGTGTCCAGCAGAAAAACGTTTTAATAATTGCATACTCACAGCCTCTGGACTTTTTAATGAGGTAGAAGGAGTAGATAGAGTATGATTTTAATATGAAAATGAAGACACAGTATTGTACCATGCAGTTTGTTTACATCATAATAAATGTCAGGAGGGGATCTTTAACAGATTGTCTTAATAATTGATTCATTTTCTTTCATTCAGCTTATCAATCAATCGACTAATCGTTGCAGCTCCACGGTTTAGATTTCCCTTTTGAACTTTGCCCCTTTCAGTCATCCTCATATTAACCTTTTATTTCATCTGCCTTCCCTTCATCTTCTGTTCTCCGCTCCTGCTAATCTTTCTCCCCTCTTGTCTCTTTTGCTTGACCTCTCCTTCCTCGTCTGACCTCTCTCTACCCTCTCTCTATTATCACTCTCATGTCTTTTCACCTCACCTTTCCAATTCCTCTTCGCTTTCTCTCGCTATCTCCTCATCCCCACTGTCTCTGCTCACTCATCTGGCATCTTTCTTTACCCCCCCGGCAGCAGCCCGTCGGACCAGCACGGCTCCTCCAAGCCCCCGCTGAGCTCCTCGGCCATGACATCACGCATCCTACTGAGGCAACAGCTGATGCGGGAGCAGCTTCAGGAGCAGGAGCGGCGAGAGCAGCAGAGACAACAGGCCTCCCAGTACCCACAAACCACGGCGGCCCAGACCCCTGCCATCAATGTCAGTGTCTCGGCCAGTTTACCGCCTGCTGCACAGGTGCCAATGGAGGTGCTCAAGGTAAGGAACCGTGGTTGTAGTTTGTGATGGTTGGGAGGAAGAGGGAGTATGGCAGCATGAATGCATAAATGATTAGTCAAAGTTATTACAGTATATGTATAAAGTTTCCACCTCTGGAATTAGAAGCAGAATGTGTCATTGTTGCAGTCTGAACAGTTCAGGCTGCTCTGTATTTATAGAGTTTATTGACTCGTGTGTGTGTGTGTGTGTGTGTGTGTGTGTGTGTGTATGTATGTGTGTGTGGACAGTCAGCCAATTGTGGTTTTACTATGACTGTGTGTAAAAAAAAGCACAGGAGTGAGTGAACTGTGTTAAAATGCGTATATGGGGATTATCTTTCCCGAGAGAATTCCTCTTTAATGCATGCTGTGCTTCCAGCCATTTGGATTTAGCCATCTTTAATCCTATTTGCTCAGCTAGATTCACATCTTTTCATAGCTTTGATTCCCTGGCAGTCCGAGGGACAGGAGACTGTTAAGATTTTCTGTACGAGTAGAGACCGTTGTGCTTGAGGGTACATTTTAACAAGGCGATTTGGTAAGTTTGTCCTCTTCATGTGTTTTCATAGAGAATTAGTAATCTTTATGAAATGTTGATAGAAATGTGTTCGGCTGTGTTGTGTGGCGGTGAAGATGTGTATGTGTTATTCAGAATTTATGTGATGTTGCTATTTTGTGGTCACTTTTATTCTCTTTTTCTGGTTATGTTTTGGTAATTATTCAGTGACGGTATAAAAAACTTGGTCTTTGTGATTTGGAAAGATTTGCACAATGCGAAGATTTAGGGTTTTTTAAGTTTTTTTTAAAAACACTTTAGTGGGTCCTTTCAGTCTCTGTTTTGCGTTTGTAAATTTGCTTTTTACCTCATTGCGAAGGGGATGAAAGTTGGTCATGAGAACACATGCATATCTGTATATTCTTGTGTGTATGAAACTTTCCAAGTCTCCTTGTTTCTTAGAAAGACACAAACTATATTTAGTTTATTTCAATTTGGGTTTTTGTCAGTATATTGACTTTTGAACGAATATGTGACACTTACATATGATCATGTTTGTGTATTCGACTTTCTTAGATAATATCTACTAATTTAAAATACTAAGTGCCAAAAAATCAGATTTTTGTATAACATCACTGGTATAGATCCTTTCATCACGTAATGTTCATTCGCGTAATGTTATCTCAGACATTGTTGTTTCATAAAATATCACATTCAGAAAGATAGTGTAGCTGCTATCAGGCTGTTTGTACTGTAGATCATAAGCACACCCCTCGGTGGAAAAGAGTAGCTTTAATTAAAGGACACTATAAAGTTTTAATTGTATAATCTCCCATTAGGTAGAGTATTGTACTGATATACTGGGAGCTATTGAGTAATCTTTGTTTAACTAAATCCATCCACAACACTTTCAAAGATTTCATGGTTACTTGCTCAGCCACACTTTCATCACCCTGGATGTGTGTGGCATGGGCCAGCAGTGAAGGACAAATACAGTATATCCATTGAAAACATTGCCCTCCTCAGGCAGCATAAACATTACTTACTCTCCATAATCTGCTGCTCTTTGAGAGGTTTAGGATGCCCCCACCCCGAACCCTCGCCCTGTGTACAATACATCAAGTTAGAGTAATTTTTCTGCTTTGGCGAGAGCTTACAGACATTCTTCATTGACTGAAGCCCTCAAATGAAAAGGCCGTTCAAGCTTGGCGCTGTTGAGCTGGGTTAACCTGCTCTCCTGTCTGTGGGTAGATTAGCAGAGTCCACACAAAGCTCAGGGGTACCAGGCAGAGCTGCTGGACCTCAAAAAGTGCAAACATTAAGCTCAGATGAGTTTATCTAAAGACTGATTGGACCCTTAATTAACCAAGTGACCTCTGACCTTCTGGGGAATAAGTAAGGGATCAGTTTAGGGATCAAGACAAAGGCGAGCATGGCCTTACCACACACCGAACGCTAATTCAGTGAAGAATGCTCGTAATTAGCCCCCACTGCTTTCATTCCATGGCATATTTAAGAGAAAAAAAACACTGCTTTGAAATTTATGTAGGATAACTTCCTAAAAGGGTTAAAAAAAATTATTTCTAGACTTTTTTTTTTCAAAGGATTTATGGTGCCATGAAAAGAACAAAGTATTCTTCTTTTGGATTATACACTCAGTGCAGCTCGTGATCAGTGTGCATCAAAAAGTATACAAAGATGCCACACAGATATCTCATTTGGGTTGATTTGTGAGTTGATGTAACAAGACATTTAATAGAAATGCTCATATTGGAATCTTTAATCTAACAAATGACATGTTTAGTGTGCATTGTGCAGTGCAATCATTTCATGGAATTCAACATATAACCTTAGATGCATTGTTTCTACATCGGCCAATATTGCTTTGTTTCAATTACAGCCGTGGATAAAACAGCAATCGACACTGTCAGATCCTATGTTTTAAACTGTTATGCTTATTTTAACACAACATGTATCATTTAAGGACACATGGTTTGTCTTTCATTGGTAATTTGCTGAGCTTTTGCATAATGACAATATGTCAGAGGTGGAGAAGACCACAGGTTGCTCTTGATCTAGCTGCTCGCATTAGCATCACAGTTGTTGTCTGCAAGTTCCACGGAGAACGTTAGCAGCTTAACTGTGAGACAAAGTGGCCTATTCTTCTAGCCTGCATAGCGAATGGGGGCATTCTTGTTAATGTATCCTGGTAGGATCATCATGGAATGCCCAAAGCACGCAAGTCAAAAAAATACAAATCAGTGTCCTTTCCCAGTACAGCAGGACACTTTGTGCTTGTTTCAGCCGAGTGTTTCTGACTCTCTGGGGGTTATGTTGCTGATGCCCTCTGGGCTGTCGATGGCTAAAAACGAGCTGATAAACAACAAGCTGTCTTGTTTGCTGTGGTTGCAGATGCTGTGAGTTAGCAGTTTATGTCACATTTCCTAACTGTGTATTTTGGAAAGAGTACATTGAGTTAAGTTGGGTAGAGTTCAAGTTCTGCTGGGGCTGACAATCTCAGTCTTGAGTTGACAAACTGAGTGTTTAGTGTTAGAGACGTATCAGTTTATCCTAAACTCTTATAGATCTAAGACTAATGCTTATATATGAACCCCACCATGTTTATAGTCCTTCTACATATTTTATATTCAGACACAAAGACTCTGTAGCAGTCTGTGTAGATGTGTCCACTTTGTATACGCTCCATGAAAAGGATCCTTTTTCAGTCCAATCAAGTCTCCAGTCTGAACAGACACTTTTTCACCCCCAGACCAGTTCCTCATAACAAAAAGCTACAGTATGTATTGACAAGGTCTGGATGTTCCACCCTGAGGTCTGAGGTCTCCAATGAACTCAGAGCCGTGAGATCATCTAATTATCTGTGATAATTTAGGAAATCCCTGAAGACAAAAACAAGCTGGAAAAACCACCAATGCTCATTTTAATGTAAAGACAGAACTAACTGATTTTAGCCTGTTGCGACTATTCTATTTTCATAATTGATTGATCTGCTTAATATTTTAACAACAACTAATGAATTCCAAAACTGGAAGATATTCAGCTAACTATCATATGTGACAAAGAGAAGCAACAAATCCTCACATTTGACAGCCAAGGAAAAAAAAATACTTAAACGATGAATTAATTAAAGCCTGTTACCAACAATTTCATTGTCGATCAATCTGCTGGTTGTTCCCTCAATTAATCTCCCAGTCTATAAAATGTTAGAAAATTCTGCTTCTCAGTTTCCTAAAAGTCAGGCTGACGTCTTCAAATTATTTGTTTTATCTGACCCAAACTCAGACATATTCAGTTCATTATATCAAAAAACAGCAAATCCTCACAATCTGTGCCTGAAAAATTAAACAATCAGATGATGATCAGTAGAGTTGCAAATCATTTTCTTTTGATAATAGACTAATCCATTGATCGACTGACCATTTTAGCTGTGAACATAATATCCGCGGTGAGGAAATCATAGAGGAGGAGTCAAGATTTTTACAGACTGAAGCCAAACTGTTGCATTTAATGTAATAGAAGGTTCATATAGTCATACTTGGGTTTTATGGGGGCACCTTTTACTTTGTGTTGTGCACATAATGTCCTTAATGACCTCTTTGTTCCGATTCTTAGTGCGAGAGAGCGAGAGAGAGACAGTTGTGTGGGGCTCCTACAGTAATCCTTTGTACAGTGTCTTTGTTTCTATTTTTAGATGGTGACAGCTATCATTTCTGTGGATGTGTGAATTTACAAGAGACAAGGACACAGAGAGAGAGAGACAGAATCAGTGGGTCTTTGTCTCTGTGTATAATACAAAATCTGTAATACTGTACATATTAATAACAATAATAATAATAATACACTTTATTTATATAGCACTTTTCTTAACAATGTTACAAAGTGCTGTACAAATTTACACCCTGTGTGCATACAGCAGTGGTTTCCAACCATGATCTAAAAAAAATAAATCTGAGATGGTTAACAGGACAGAAAAATTGCTCTTTTTAGACTTTTCTTACTGTTACTTTGACCTGTGGAATATAAAAATGTTTGAATAATGCTGTAGTTGTACTGGTCACAAACTGTATCAATATGCAACCTGTGATACGTAGACAGAAAATAGGCAAAATGATGAACGACTGACTGACACAATTAACATTTTTTAGGAGTGAAAATATTAGTTTAAATGTTATACTGTATTTGGCAAAACTGTAAAAATAAAAAAAGGAACCAAAGAGAACACAGAACCACAGGATTTACAAGAAGAACTGTGTTGTCACTTGTTTTGATTATTATTCATTCAATATTTCATAATTAACTTCTAACAATTACTTCACCAGATATTTTTATGAGGCAGGACATGAGGGGCAGGACTGCTAAGTCAGGACTGCCCAAGGTGGGGCTCAAAGTTGGTTTCTAGTGAAAAAAAAAATTAAATTAAAAATATCATAATATGCCTGGCTATTTATGCTGTTTAATTTTTTGTGAGCTAAACGTTCCCTTTCAAATATGTAGGATCCCTAACTCATATTTCATAAACTAAGCATGGCAGCCACTTTGTGACACTTTGCACAGGTAGTAAGTCAATTAAGGGAACTCTAGCATCCTAGTACCATTTTAAGTTTTAACAATACAGTAGAATAGGTGTTTGCTTTTGGCTCACGAACCACCATTAAGTTTCAGTTTTGGCCTCCAAAGGAAAATGTTTGGGCACCCCTGCTCTAAGTAGTTGAGCAAAAGCCTCAACAATAAAATAAAAACAGCCAGGATACAAGACAGAAAGCTGGGACCAAAGCATACTTAAATATTTGTATACTCTGGACAATACCACTAATTGTATTTATCTGTTTGTTTTGTAAACCTGCTGTAAACACGACCTTCAGAGACTCAAAGCAAGATAAATAACAAACGTTGCCGTGGCTAAAGCAGCTCTGGTCGCTCTCTTTCTCAAAACCAGCCCTTATAAAATGATGATTGTTCCCACACAGAGAAGGACAGCACACTCAGTAATCCTCGAGGTCAGTGGGAACGCCTAAAGTGTTGGAACGATGGCGGGAAGCGACTGATGAGACGGACAGGATTAACTATTTTCTTATGTGATTTTTTTATATTATGACAGCTGACGAGTTGCAAATTAAAAAGATGCCACTTTGACTGCAGGAACACAACAACAGTGTGTGTTATGTCTGTGCTTTTTATACTGAGTATTTTCAATAGAAATTAAATTACATTCAAACACTTCATTTTTATCACAGCTAGGACTAAATTCAAACACTATATTACGCATAAGTGTAATTGTTTTAATTTATTTTTTGTGTTCTGTCAAGGCAACAATTTTCTTTTTTAAATTTACTGAATATGAATCCTTTCAGATCCCTTATTTAATCTGTAAAGGTTTGACTTTCAATTGGCTTTCAACTAAATTTTTTAATTTAGATATTTACTCAATTACTTAAAACAAGTAATTTGAAAATGTCAGCTTGGGCTTAGGGCATTGTGAATTTTTGCTATTTTGTGACACTTAATGGACCAAGAATGAAAGAATTTTCTAAAGATTAAATTAAAAAATCACAGACAGTTTCTTTAATCACAGACACTATAGGGGGAAAAAATTAAAATGGTAAAGAAAGAGATGATAAAGATTCATTAAAATATTTATTAGACTGTGCCAACTTTTGTCAGACCAGAGTCAACCCTAATTCAATTTAATTCAGTCAGTTTAGTTGATAAATTGTTAACTAGTATTCACCAGTATTAGGTTGTTTACCAATCGTTTATGCATGTGAGTGCAAATAATTGGATTTGCCATTTATGGCTGCAGTTCCTCCATCTGGATTAGGTTTCTGAACACTCTGCTGCCCTTCACAGTCTATTTTCAGGACCAACGTCACTGTGGTCCATAATGTATAAAGCACATAATTTTTTTGATAAAGTGATGCTTGTGTCGACTTTGTTGTTAGTAGAAATGATCCTGAAGAAGTTATAATTAGAAACGTTATTATACAAGAGTTAAACACCATAATGAGTGCAAAATAAAGACTAAAGGAGTTTATTAGTGACTTTAGCCCACACTGTGGTATGGTTGTTCTTAATGAGCCATTGACGTGCTGTAAGTATGCCCCTCTCAGTAGTGTCAGCTATACGACCCTGTGATGATGATTTTCAGCCCAAGGTGATCTCAGTCATACCTGTGGGATATATGTTAATGTACCTCTCACATGAGTACCCCCTGCAGAACAATCATACTGTATGGAAGAGAGACTCTGAAAGAGTTGTTGTTCTGGTAAGAAGTGAAAAAAATTGACAGTCACAGAAAGACGGCCGTATAACCTGACGTGACGTCACATGAGTGGGTTTATTATTCAAAACAAAAGGGGAATGCAAACAAAGAGATGACAGGTGTGGTAGGTGATAAACTAGCGTACAGTTCACTCTCCACAGAGTACACAAATAATGTTTAAAGGTTACATTGCATGAACGTAATGTTATAAGGAGTATGCTCTAGACCTGCTATATATAATAAATTGAATTGAATTGAACGTGCACAAAGTGAACTTGTGTTTAGTCAGATTATATTATCTTGATCATCACGTGTTTCCACAGATATTGAGTATCCATGAGCAACATAAGTCTCTTTTTCTTAGGCTCCGTGTATCGTGTATTAAGCTGCTGTTGGGAGCCAGTTCATATTTTATGTATTTGTTCAATAACCACATCATTTTAACTGTCCAGCTCAGTGTGCAGACTACAGGAGTTTTCGCAGAAATGTCAGAGGTAGCTTAGAGTTTGTCTAGAGCCTCTGACCTCCTCAGCGCTGTTAATGAATCCAAATCCTCTGGGCTTAAGCAGAACAAATACATCATTTTAAAAAATGAAGTAGGCTGTAATGCATTGATTTTGATTTTGTATGCCTGTTGTTGACGATTAAAAATGTCTGATTAAAAATGATAAAAAATGTCTTTTAGAGACACGAGGAGATGCAAGCTGCAGACAAACAAGGATTTAACAGACTTTATTCTTTGTGCTGTTTTAAACTGGGAAAGCACGACTAGCATCCACGGGGTTAAAAAAGTGGATGCGGCAAAGTGATAGCCCCAGGCAATTTTCAGTTAAAGGGCCGGCCTTGCAAAACAAAGGCACTAACTGTTAGCACCACATCCTGACGTCAAGTGATCACCATAAAGGAATAAATTCAGATTTTACATAAAACAACACAAATTTGAAAAAGCTCATTGTGCTTTAAAGATTCCTTGACATGCATAACTAATTACCTTTCTTGCCTTTTAAAAGATGAGCTGGATGTGTCTGTCCTCATACTTAGCAGGCTTAGTCTTCTGGTGCAACCAAGAGGGAAGCAGCTACAGCACTTCTTAGTTTAGATAGGAGTTAAGCACAGAAGTTTAAGTTATTTTGTTCTTACACTGGACGAATCAGTTAATTGTAAATTATGCTTGAGATGCTTGGATACTATCCTTATGAGGTATGTGTAAAAACTAATATTATCTTTTTTGGAGAAGAGGTATTTTCTTAAATTATACATGGAAAATAAAATGGCATTACGAGACTAAATTCTTACCTAATTTACTATCTTAAAGCCAATACAGTTGTGTCATCATCCATAACGGTGCTTATTATGTGTCTACACATAGTGATGATCAGTTGTTATTTTATAAACCACAGAATGTGTTAGTTATTGCATCAAAAAAATTCTGGCAATAGACAAGAAGGTTTAAATATAGAATCCAAATGTGAGCAGTGGAATTCAGCAGCAGCACTGCTCCATATAAATTTTGACAAACACTGTCTCTGAAGTTTGTTTATTTGCCTAGAGTAGCTTTTCTGTATCATTAGTGCTGTGTGGGGATTAATGATCCACAGCGATCAAATGTATCCATAACTGGGGAGTGCAGACGGGTGTGTTTGTGTCATTTTTGTTACTTAAAATATGCAGACTATAAATGTAGAAAAGCAGACAGTAGCAGTTAAAGAAAAATATGTAGAAATTGTTTTCTACTGAGACTCTTTGAGATAACAACACTTGGCAGCGTCTCAAAAGAAAAACACATGGAAGGCTTTGAGATCTGTGCGTGAGTTTATTTTAATATTACAGTCAGTTCTGTGCAATGCTAGGGACAGGCACGACTTTGAGGTATATTTAGAGTCTTTTAATCTAATAAAAGACTGCATAGCCAAAAAAACATGAAATGTGACTACGAGAAAAATATAGTATCAAGTGGGATTATTTAAAATGAACATCTCCTTCTCAGCGACATTTTATTCGGTGTGACAAAGATGCATATTTATATGATTCATTTCTAAACAAGCAACCTTGCTCTCTTTCCTTTCTCCCTTATTTTCCTACCAATAGGTCCAGACTCACCTGGAGAACCCAACAAAATACCACATCCAGCGCTCACAGCAGCAGCAGGTGAAGCGGTACCTGGGAAAGCTTGGCTCTCAGGTGTTGAGCTTGCCCTGCCCCAACCAGTCCTCTGACCACGGGGGCATGCCGCCAGGGCCGGGCAACAGCGCCCCCAACAGCCCTATGGCCTTACTGACGTTGAACGCTAACTGCGAGAAAGAGGTGAGTTACTTACGCAGACTTATCACAGCGTCTCACAGTGACACACACATAGACTTTCCCCTTTTGTGACGTTGTACTTGTTTAATCAGACTTATTTGTATGTCCTCTGCCCTTTGTGTTGTCTTGTTTTAGATGGATGATGTCATTGATGACATTATTAGTCTGGAGTCCAGTTACAGTGATGATATCCTCGGCCTGATGGACCCAGGACTTCAGATGGCTAACACGGTATGTGTGTGTTGAACATGAATTCATTCTCAACAGTGAGCCTGTATAAAGATCGAGCACTTTGCTCTTTTAAAGTTCGTCACATGAGGGCATTCTGTTTGGTCTGTTTTTGGGATAACTACACTGCTGTGTTAATTAGTGAGCTTTGGAGGTGCTGGCTAGATGTTTCCCCCTGTTTCCTGTCTTTATGCTGTACTTATTGGCTGCAGGCTGTAGCCTTACATGAGAGTGATGTCTATCAACTGATCTAACTCTTTTCCAAAATGAGGAACTATTCTTGGCATCATGTTGATTTGCATATTAAAACATTTGTTAAACTTTTGTCACTGTATAATGGGCTTGTTTTATGTCACCACCCTTCCCATCATGCTCATCCTGTGATGCTGATTAGCATCTATACAGAGGGGGTGGTGTGATCTTTTCCTAATGTCTTTACTGTGTGTCTTCAGATCCCTGTGCCTGCTAACCTCATGGACATGTATGGTAATCAGGGTATGTCCCAGCAAGGTCTGCCCATTAGCAACTCCTGCCCTGCCAACCTGCCCAACATCAAAAGGGAATACTCTGGTAAGCAAACTGTCACAGTAAAAGACATACACACTTTTAAATGCTTGGTTTCTGTCATTACAATATATCTATAAAATGTTTACAGATCTGAGCTGCATTAATTAATATCCATTCAGCTTCTCTATTGCGTGGAAAACACCAAGGCTCTAACACATATGAAGCTGTACTCTCCAGGTCTTTGCAGCCCATAATGTAGCATTTTTTTTAATAGTCCAGTCCTTGTAATCTTCCTCAGTGTGGGGGTGTTGACTGTACATGACTGACCATTTTTTTTCTCACATAGTTTCACAATCCCCGGCCATCATGCATATGCTGGATAAGTCTGGATCCTGTGGCAAATTTGACAACTATCAAAGGCCTGAAGGGTTCCCCGTGGGTACGTGTGGTTAATTGGCTTCAAAATGTAGAAGTTAGCCGCTGCACATTCTTTAATACTTGCACCTGCACTGTTTCGTTCTGTTTTATTGATCATCGTTACCATTTCTTTCAGAAGCTGAGGTAAGAGCAATGGCAAAAGAAAGACAGAAGAAGGACAACCACAACTTGAGTGAGTTTAAACTGCTCTTAATTATATATATTTAATTCTGTAAGTGTGAATGTTTGAAAATACTCATGGTTGCCTTAGTGTCTTTTTCTTTGTTACAGTAAAAAAAACACTGAAAACAAATTTTCCGATGATGTTATGTCAGCTAATCATGGATTTTTTTTTCTCTTCTGTTTATGTTGTGTAGTTGAGAGAAGAAGACGGTTTAACATCAACGATCGAATCAAGGAATTGGGAACTTTAATTCCAAAATCGAATGACCCGTAAGTTACTAATTTTGTTGCTTTATTTCTTATTCAAGACAGATTTCCTCAAGACTCATCTCTATGTGTCAATCTTTAACCCTGAGATTGAGTATATTAATTATTTGTTCTGACTGTACACTTTAAGTGTGCACTCTTTCCTCATTTTCTGCCCTTCCCTGTGGTTCAGGGAAGATCCCAGCAGCCCCTTTTGTTGTGTCTTTTCACCCGTGGTTGTTTTGCTAAACCCCAGCTGGGTGCTCCACCCACACAACCGCCTTCATGCACACAAACTCAGTGACTGACCTTTCACAAACAAACCTCGCTTAACATAGTTCTTATTATGGATAACACATGATGATAATGATAAGAACATGTATGGGACATGTGCTTGTTAGAATTAAATTCATGACTTTAAATGCCCACCCTTAAGGCTTTTGACCACTTCAAACCTAAAACCAAAGCACCTATCAGTTGGATTTTTTCTCATTTAGTCTAGAAAAGATTGATTGTACCCAGCGCAACCTCCAATCCTTCAGGGAGCTCAAGGTCGCTCTTATGACTGCTTGTGATCTCAGTGACCTCCACGGCATAAATGTCTAATGCAGCATTCACTTCTCAGACTTCAAATCACCTCTGTGACCTGCAGCAGCTCTGCTCCTTATTCCTCCTCATTATTCTCTTCTGTCTCTTGTTTGTCTAACTGAACAGCAGCTAGTGGACTATTAGAGCAGCCCGAGTCTAATGGAAATCTGTAATCTGATTTTAGAGATCGCTGTTTGTTTGACATCCAAAAACTATACGATCTAAGAGACTGTACAAATAATGGCTCCTCTGTGATTTTCAGGGACATGCGCTGGAACAAAGGCACCATCCTGAAGGCGTCGGTAGACTACATCAGGAAGCTACAGCGGGAGCAGCAGCGAGCCAAGGAGCTTGAGAATCGCCAGAAGAAGCTTGAGCATGCCAATCGACATCTGATGTTGAGGATACAGGTAAACAAACTTCCATGACATCTCTTGATGGGAAGGCGGAGTCACAGAGTTGTAGAACTGCATCTTATAAACTAATAATACAATTAGAAGGGAAACTACAGTATCACAGTATACAGTGTCATGTGCACGGAGTGTAAAGACTGAAAGATTTTACTCTTTAACCCCTCGTGTCTCCACTGATGTCAGAGGAAATTATTACGCTTTTATGAAATATATCAAGCCATAGGGAAAAACGAGTAGGGACACTAATTTGCAAAGCAAAGGTCACGTATTTGAAGAAGCCGGATGTTTAGACCATCATCTTGAAATTAAAAGACAAGAAGCGCCAGGATCTGTGCGATTCAGCACAGCTGACATTGATCAATTGATCACATTGAGCGTTTGTTTTACGGTAATTATTTAGAGCAGCAATTTTGTTTTTTTATTGTCTTGCTTTTGTCTGGCCTCACTGTTCGTCGTCTGTTGTTATATTGCCTTCCGAATATTCTGCTTTTGCTTTGCATGTCTAAGCACCTTGTAAACTCTGTTTTTTAAGGTGCTATATTAATAAAGGTATTATTATCATTATTATCTGGGGGAAAAGAAAACCCTTAGAGTTTTTCGACTGGAAAAGTCAAGCTCCATCAGTCACAGTCAAATGGGGTTTTAAAAAGAAAAGTCACCTGCACTTAGCACGTCTGCCAACTAATTTCCTTGGGGAAACTCTGGATTAGTAAACTGTTCCTTTATTGTTGACCATCCATGGAGCAAGTGAAACAGTACAGTGATCTGAGACCCATCCTGACACAAGAATAGAAGACTGTGATTGTGATAGACATTATGGCAGAGAGTGAAACTCTTTACTGACTAACCTGTGTGTTTTTGCAGGAATTGGAAATGCAGGCACGGGCTCACGGTCTTACTGTCGGATCCTCAACACTCTGCACTTCTGAACATGGGGCCCGGAACATTAAGCAAGAGACCGCTTTGGAGGACTGTCACCAGGACCTGTACGCGCTCCACCCCCATCACCAACACCACCCCGCCTGCACTCCAGAACAACCCGGCACCCTGGAGCTAAACGAAGCCCAAACTAACTTCCAGGAGGGCCACTACAGCGTTCACAGCAAGCCGGGCAAACTCAACGACATCCTCATGGAAGACACCTTATCACCGGTGAGAGGGGGGGACCCTTTGCTCTCCTCCATCTCCCCAGATGCCTCAAAGGACAGCAGTCGCAAGAGCAGTGTAAGCATGGATGAGAATGAGCAGGGCTGTTAGCACCCCCTACTGGAAGACACCTCGCCTGCATCTCCAGCCCCTCCATCCTGCTGCAAGTGTTCCTGTCAGTAGCTAACACACTCCCTGCTGCTGGAGAGGCTTTGTCTTGTTCGTGTTATTTGTGTCTGTTGTGTTTTTTTTTCTTCCCCACCCGTGTTTACATGTACTGAATCTTTTCCATTCATGTTTTTTTTTGTTTTGTTTTTTGTTATATCCTTGTCTTTTCAACCTTGATTTCAAGGACTGATTATAAAGTATGTTTGCTTTAATCAATACTTTGATGACAATGAGTTACAAAAATAGAAGTTTTTATATTTAAAAAAAAATGCATTTATCTTTGGATAGAGGCTAGATTATGTTTATTTCTATTGATTCCAAAGAATCTAGGGAAGTTATAAATCATGGTCAGAAGTGTAGATATTTTGTGGTGAGATGAACACTGCTTTTTAAATCACTAGCAATAATAGAAGAAAGAATATTTATTACTATAGTGCTTTACACTCCTTGTGTCTTAGATTATACTTGAATGTGTCAATGCCTTATTAAGATGTGTATACATCAATGTTGTATTGCTATGCACATGTTTTGGCTGTTAGCTGAGTCTTTGTCAGTCTTCCAGTTGAAATTTCTTCCTTGACAATATTAATCATTTATATATTTGATCTTATTTATGTATCTATGTAAACAGGACTTTATGTACACATTCCCCAAGAAAGATTAATTTATAACAAGTTATTTCAAAGAGCCTTTTTGAAATAACTGAGATAATAATGAATAAAAGCACGTTAAAAAAGATGAAGCTAAAATGTCTCCTTTAAGAGAATTAAAATGAACAAAATCAACATTGATAATGGCTAATTTTAGTCCTTTATTCTGTGTCACAATGAGCAAGAAAGCAGCAAAACAATCCAGTAAAAAGAGAGAAAGGTCAAGTTTCACCAAATAAATGCATCCTTTAACCATCCGGTGCTGTCTACTCAGCAGGGTGTACAAGATATATTACCACTGTACATTTCTCTTTGCCAAAACCACTGAAATACTTAAATTTAGCAAAGAATTAAATGAAAATGTTTTAATCTCTAGTCTCAAAACTAGTAGGAACTTAGCTCAAATCAAAATTAAAGACCCTGTTGTAGCCCTGACACGCACAAGAAGCTGATTTCACTTGATAGATCAGATTGTCCATCCATTTCCTAAATTATTGTTTTTTTACACCACTGCGGTGACATTTCACATTCAGTATGTTTTTTTTCCATTATGTGAACATTTATATTGCCAAGGAGTATAAGGAGACTGCTTTGGGATTTTGTATGAAATGCATGACATTGTCAAAACACTGGAATGACCTCTGTAAATTGAAACATGGTTTGTTCGCCTTTTTTATCTAAGCATAAACTAACTATTGTATTTGGCTTTTGAAATGCATACAGAATATTGTATGAGATTGTAGATTCTTTATGGTGTACGGTTGTTGTATATTTCAGCAGTTTGTTTTCAGCAGTTGTAGCACATTGCATAAATATGCCTTTGTTAAATAACTACCTGCCATACATCGAGAGCCCTGTTACAGCACAGCCTCCATTTTGTTAAACTATGCAATGGTTGAAGTTGTGCCTGCAGAGCAGCATCATGTCTTGATAATGTGATCTCCTTATGAATTAGTCTAAAACAGTATCAAAGTAATTGTCTTTTTAATTGATTTAAGTGCCTTACAGTCGTTTCTGTTTCCTCAGTGATGTAACAGGAGTTGTAGACAATGATGCAACATTTTGTTGATGTTTATACTGGTGTATGGTGCTTCATGGATTAACTGATGAGTGCCAAGGTATATTAGAGAGCAGTAGGAAATGGCCTTTTGTCAGTACAAGATAACACTTTTAGCCTCTCAGACTCAAGAGCCACTAGAAAGTGTTTATTATGGAACCCCAACATGTTCAGTATTAAATAAACAAAGAAGGCATTATGAATTAAACAGAGTAAAATATATAATCCAATACATTTGAAATAATATAATAAATTATGAAAACCCATCCTTATTATTAAATGTTATTTCATCATTTTTGTTTTCATATTAAGTGCTTTTTTATTTATTTTAACTTTACTTCTGTACAGATTTTTTTTATTTCAAAGTGCCCTTTTTTCATAAGTATGTTAATTTAATTCCATAATGGCATTTTTACCAATGACTATTTCATTTCAAAATTGTCTCCATGCCCTCACCCCTGAGGCAATCACTGAGTCCCCACTACAGGTTTAACAACAGATGCCAATGCTAGACTAATACTGACTACCTGCAGCAGCAACCAAATACAGAGTACACGCACAGCAACTAACCTCTATTTTTGGATAGGATTTTGGATTATTACTCAGCATCTAAGCGAAGAGCTTCGTTCATTCAGAGTTATCTTGGAAATGTTTCTAAAGTTATTCCTCAGAGAAAGACAGTTGATTATGTGAAGAGTGAGAACATAAATCTGTGTGGTGGTTGTAGCCAACAGGAGCTAGGCAGCTGGCTGGCTGTGTTGAGCCTGCTGAGGAGGAGACATGTGAAACTCCTCTCATAAAAAATAACATTTTTAAAATGACATTGGGGAAAGTGCAATGGTATGAAAATAAGAATGATGAAACAACATTTCATTGTAATGAGTTTAGTTTTAATTATTTATAATATGATTGCGTTGGCAGCGTGACGTGGCTTTATGGCAATGTCAGTTGCTCCAGACCAAAATATCTCAAGAATGAATTAGATGGATTGCCATTTAATATTGTAGAGACATTAGGTGCCCAGTGGATCCTTATTACTTTGGTGATCCCCTGACCTTTTATCTAGTGCCACCAGCAGGTTGACATTTTTTACTTCTAGTGAAATGTCTTGACAACTATTGCACAGTGACATTTGGTTAAGACATTTATGTCACCGTCAGGATAAATTGTAATTAATGATCCATAAACTTTTCAATTAGTGGCATCATCAGGTCATAATTTCAGTTTCTCTGATACTTTTCCAAATATGATTTATGACCAAAAACCTGCAAAACTAATGACATTCCCATCAGCCTCGACTGTACTCTGTTTGGTGCTAATCAGCAAATATTAAACTCTAAACCCCTGCTTAGCATCAGATTGTTAAGATTGTGACTGTGAGCATGTTAGCATGCTGATGTTAGCTCAACAGAGGAGCTAGCATAGCTGTAGACTCTTAGTCTTTATATTATATTTTGCTTGTTTATTCATATGTTTCACAATATCTTATTTATTATTTAATACTGAACACTTCGGGGTAGGTGTGCATTTTGTTTTATCTTTATTAAAGTTAAATATCATACTGAAGGCAGTGTTTCCAAAGTTGTACTGAATATTCAGCATCATTATGAGACTATGAATGTAGTTTAAAGTGATGACTGCCAAAATGTGTTGCCAAAATAAAATATACAATAAGTTTATGAATTGCCATTTTAACAGCTGAGCTAATGCACCTCTGTTAGTGGTATTTTTCATCCATAGTTACAAGCAATATCTAAAAACATGATGGCAACCAGGCCGTAAGTAAACCACCAACGGGTGAAGTATATTGTGAAAGTTCATTCCTGCAACACTAGTGTGACAAAAAGAAAAATAAGTTCTACTTGGTAACAGTTTTTCCAGCTTTCAACTGCATCTCACAGTCCTTCTCAGCAGATGGAGATAGCTCAGCTGTCATTATGTGACACTGAAGTAGTATGGAACCTCTCTTGTTAAGACCATGAGACGTGGTTAAAAGCCTGGAACAAGCTAGTAAGTGGACCTTGAGTTGAATTTAGTATTTTTGTCATAGCTGAATTACAGCTTCAGTGGAATGCAGAATGACTTCAATCCCACATACTGAGCCTTAATAGTGCAATACACACAGGCCTGTAGCATTGCCCTTCGACTGAACCCAGATCAGCTTTTTTTTTTAGTGGAAAAGATAAATCATCTAAACCCTGAAATGTGACTGGTTAGAATGAACATTGGTATCACACGTGGTAGCGGTGGCACTTAATTTAAAGCCATCACTATGACTGATTTCTCATAATGAATCTTCCAGCTGTTAATTATTATGGCACATTATGGGTAAACCACTAATGAAGAATCATCTCTTCTGCTCATTCCTGTGGTTCACACAGACAATGTTTTCTGCTGATGTTGCTACTGTTCTTATTGTTACAGTTTATATAAGATGAATGTAGCAATAGTTACTGTACGCACTGGTTTCAGATTAGTGAATTCAAACTCATTGGTACTCAATGTGGAAACTATCTTGTGAGAAATATTAAAAGTTTTATTTGAATCTTTGGAGAGCTTGTGTTTTTCTTCCTCAAAATCTAAATTAGATAACAAGGTAATGTTTTACCTATTTACCTATTTATCATTTATAAGCAATACAAAGACATTTGTAAATGGTTTATAACACAAATAACAAATATAAGGACATTTTAAATGTTTATTAATGTATTTGTCAACAATCATAACTCCTCCTATGATATACATTTATATTTATTACAACTCTGTAATAATCTATGAATTATATATTTAATGTTTTAAATGCTGAATACTTAAAAGGTTAACCTATTTGAAGTTACAGTTGCGAAGACTATTTGCTAATGTTTTAATTTGTCCCCAGAAGAAGCAAGCTCATGAGTACATTTCTGGTAAGCTTGAAAGGATATTATCCTTAATAATGTCATGGGAAAACGTTGATAAAATTAGAAAAATGTTAATGAACATATTCATCAGAAATTGTGTTTTACCTGTATTTACCAAGCTGAAAAGGGCAAATGATTGTTGACAGATAGGTTTCGAGGTTTATTATTATACCTGCACATCCCAGTTCTGTGGGAAGAGGCATCCTCAGAGAGCCAGCAGGGTACTTCAGAGGCCAGGGTGCAGTCCTGGTACCACACAGGCAGCTCCAGGCCCAGCATTCACTGGATGATGCGACCATTCTCGTCTGCTGTCAGTGGCCCCCTCTGGTGGGCAACATACACTGAAGGACATATCGATGTTGACCGCAGCACTGGCAACAATTGTTATGCAGTCAGAAAAGATGGAAATATATCCTGGTTGTATATTTTTGTGGATAAAAAGTGTTTGTATGTATATTCCTATACATAATCCTACACCTACTCACACCTATTGCACACTTTGAAAACTTAATAGGAAAGTTTAGAGGCTCTCCTCATTCTAAAACATTTTAAGCTGGTTCAACTTAAAGGTCCAGTGCTGCCTTAAAAATGTGATTGAATTAAACTTAGATTGAATAATTAGTTTAAAGATAGAGCTTGGAGTGCAGCAGCTTCCTGCTCAGACCCTCCGTTGTGGGCTATTATTGGCATATGGCAGTTCAACATGGCAGACTTCCCCCTGAAGAGGACCTGCTCCCCCTATGGTAACAAAAACACAACAATTCTTATTTGCAGGTGATTAATGAAAACACACATTTAAATATTAGGCTATATTCAGTTTTATTTATTTATCTGCCAATAGTTCCTCCTAAATGTTAAACCTGTAATATAAATACAAAATATGATTTGGATAATAATTTGTGTGTTTTTGCCACAACAAAAGTTTAATTACTTCATAAAATTGGATCTACCCTTTCTCCCTCATTGAAAAATCCAGAAGCTATGAATATGCAACTATTTTTTATTTAAAAAAAATGTCATTATGAAACATTAAAACAAATTGCTGGACACGACATAACTGATAAATTCTCAGTTTATGTGCAAGTTTCAACATCACATTTGTGGGCCACAATTGGCTTGTAGTAACAAGTAGTCACAAAATCATGCTAGTATAAACACTTCTTAATCTCAGATTCAAGTTTACAGAGTTAGCAGAATAACGTGTAAAACTCTGCACAAAAATCCGTGAAGGTCAAACATCCAGGTAAACAATCAATAAAACACATTTTTGACTGGAGGCAGACTTTAAATATTGCATTACAACATGCCTGACAGAGCCAAAAGACAGAAGCTAGTAGAAACCAAGAAAGAATTGGAGGTTTTGGAGGGAGCTGGGCTGTCTAGATTTTGGTTGTTGAGAGACACTTTACAGGTCTGTCTTTAGTAGCTAGAGAAGAGTCAACTGTCAACTGTCAGTTGACCTTTAGCAATCCCATTATGAAAATACTGATGCTGGCTTCTACTACATACCTGGCATTGTGTAAATCACTGTAGATGTCTTAGCAAGAAGACACATTCGCATTGTTAATGAGCGAATAACCTGAAATTGTCCAAACTTCAAAATCTATGCCAATAAATTCTCAGAAATATGCTGATAAAATTAGCTGTATGTAGCCTTTGTTTCCAAGAATTATGAAAATCAGCTTAATAAAACCTGAAACTTGTTCAACATTGGTAATCCATTTCAATAAAAAATTGGTTTCCTTTATTTCATTTATGTCTTCTTAATAAATTTACAATAAGGGACTGTTGGTTTTTTTTGCTGTTGTGTTCAAGTGCTTGTGTGAAACTCCACAAAGAAGCTTGTTCACACAAATGAGCCTACTAGCTTGTAAAAAAAATACTGATACATATTCAATATATGATAGAATCAAATTCACATTTTCACAGTTTTATTATTTTATCTGTTTATTGTATGTTCTTCTCAAAAACATTGTTTATCAATCAGGGGTTTAAATGCACCATAAAGTTGGTTTCTGCTTGCAACACAATCACCATCTACAACTAATTCTACTTTAAGCACACAATTTTTTCTTAGAATGAACTGCCAAAAATCTAAATTGGTCAGAAAAATGTAATTGTGCTTTCCACAGTGGTTGGCAGTAAGGTTAATTACACACACTTGGGTGTTCATGGTCTACCACATGCAAGACTATCAGGAAAATCATTCTCTTGATCAGTGATCATGCACTGACAAACACATTTAACATCTCAACACCTAACATCATAGTAAAGTAGCAGCTGAATATATGTAGTCCTCCAGTGATGCAGAGATGTCGCCAAAACCACATCTAGTTCCAAGCATGTAGTAGAAACTACAGTAGCCATGAAACTCGCGAAAAAGGAAAAAGGCCAAATCTGGGGCCAGTGTTTGGTTTGTCCATGGTTGGCTATTGTAGAAACATGGCTGTCGAAGATGGACGGTAGAAGAGGACCGGCTCCCTTTGTAAAAAGGATTATGAAAACACCACAATTATTATTTTTAAGGTGATTATACACTGATGAAAACATACCTATGAATATTAAATTCCATTTCTGCCAATAGATCCTCCTAAATGTTTGTTGTTTCTTTAAGTTCTTCACCCCACATATGCCTCCAGAGAAATGTTACTTGTAGTACATGTTACTTCTGAGATCCAGAATTTTTTCTGCACTGAATGACTCTGAAGGTTAACATGATGCTGACCACTGTCCAAGAAATGTATTGTTCTGACTTGTTCACATATAGCTGAAGATAATAGGCTGATACTGTAGGCTATACTGTAGCTTTAATTCAGTGTTTAGTTTTTCAGAGATTGAAAGAGACAACTGCTTAAATGGTGCCTGTAACTCACATCAAACTTTGAGGTACGTTATTTGAGTCCTACTTTATGCTTCAAGACATGGGGAAATGTTTTACCTTTTCTTGGACTACATTTATTTTACTGTTTAATTAGTTAATAGTTACTTTTCTAATTGTTAATATTAGATACAAAGATTATGATCAAGGTAATGCATTATTACAGATTAAACCACCTAGCAGTACATTAAGCTGTTAGAATGTGCTCCACCTTGACCAAATACAATATTAAAGTAATGCTTATATGTTAATGCATCAATAATGATAATTGAATAATAGAATAATATAATACTGACAGTGACTCTTCAGCATAAAAATTTGCCTATTTTCAATTTTAAAATTATTTTCTGTTAATACTTCAATGGCATACTTTTACTTAAAGGGGAACTTTATGTATCAAAGTCTGTTGGGGAAAAAAAGTTGTATAAGGCCTTTTGAGACTCCAGAGGGAGCTATGTGAAATTTGATACTTTGCCTCGAGTGATGTCACTTGAGTCAACGTTGGTTAGAGCTGAATGCTACCACTTTGGAAATGTAAGTCATTTTAAGGGTTCTTTGTAGCTGCTTCTCATCTCAGCTTGAGTCTAGCCGCAACTAGCATTATACATCTGAATCTCTAACCGACTGTCGCCAGCTGAGTTGCATTGTGGGTAATGAAGGTTCCAGATTTTGAGAAGGAATATGAACATGTGGAATAAAAAAGACGTGTGTTGATACATTTTTGTCCCTCGTGGACATTATACATGTACAATGCTAAATCAGTGGAGTACTGTTTCAACCAGACATTTAAATGGGGTAGGAGTTTTACTTGTAATGGAGTACTTTTATGCTAATTTACTTCAGTATGGGATCTGAATACTTCTTCCGCCACTGCTCTATGTCACACATGAGTGACTGCAGCCCAAAATAGAAAGGTATTTCACCTCCCCGAGTTAATGGACCATACTAATTGACATATAAACAAAAAGCGTAATAAAGAATGAAGAGATAAAATATTTATTAAAGAGGTTATGACATTATGCTGCTGTTTATGTTAAAGTTGTGTAACAGCCTAATATAAATCAATCTAATTAAAATGAACCCATTAAAATTACATTCTACAGTAATCATTTCTTTCAGTAAGCTACAAAAAGAATCCATTTAATGCATGATATCAATCTATTTTCATTTTAGCATCTGATAACTTTCCCTTTGCCAGCCGGCGCTGCACAGTTTGTCAAATCTATGTTCTTTAGAATTGGACCAGTGTTAAACTTAGTTTGTCGAGAATGGCTGGAATTATTTGAAAACATGCTCCCAGATTCTAAATGTCTTCAGCCTACTCTATCATGATTTATGGAGTGGCACTGTGAACATAAAGGTTGCCATGGCTCAACGTGCTGTACATAACCACCCCCCACTCTGCACTCTGTCCCCTCTTCCACCCTGACAGGACTGCATGTTGCCATTTGATTACTTTGCTCTGTGTGGCTGTAGCAACAAATGAGGAGGCTGACACATCATAAACTCTGCACTGTTTCAAAGGGTGGCTGTAGTTACCTGCTTGAATAATGTTGAGGCACACAAGCTGGAGATAAATTTCCACAAGGCCAAATATGAAAAATATCTCAGTAATGCAGGCAATTTTTTACATATGTGGGAACAAGATGAGACAGTCATGCCATTTGTTGAGCATTCAAAGATGGATAATCTTTGGGATTCTTTTTAAAGTGACCTCATTGTGTTTAAAGGTCAGAGGTGAAAGGCCAAGGAGGAATTTCTCAGCGATAGCACACTTCCGATATCTCCATTGCAAGCTCTATGAGTTCTCCCGCGTCTTGACAGGAGCCGCAGCAGTTACAGTCCAGTTCCAGCTTGTAATTGCAGCAATCCTTTCCCTGCTGTTCTCTCTCACTGGAGGTCTTGATGTATTTGTACGAGGGAAAACAGCGTCTCACAGCCCTCTCACATGTATCCGGTAGAAGGACCATTAACTCATGGAAACGGCAGTGCAGACAGGCGAGAACAAGTGCTGCACAGTCATCTGGTGGCGGTGACAAGGTGGTATAAAAGGAGAGAAGGTTAATGATTTGGTGAGAAACTGAAGTGTCAGTGTCAGGGTGTCTCAATTTAATTACATCAACTGTTGTACTTTAGATGAGTTCAACAATACCTCCAGTGTCAGGCTGGTATGAATCATCAGAGGAAAAATGACTGCTGCTGTTTATAAACTTGTCAGAACACAAAGAGAAGCTGGATCCACCCCACTCACTGCCACGCCGGGCATCATGGGAACTGGGATCAGTGTCCAGTTTGTCTGGTTCTTGCTCTGAGATGGTGCTCAGTCTGCGTACCCCACTGACTGAACTGCTGCCCATCATCTTTTTAGATGGACTGCTCAAAACTGGCTTGGGGATGCTTCCTTTGAAAGGATGATGCAAGCAACAGAGGGATCATTTTGGATGCACAGACATTACTGATGTTATAAAAAATCAGTGCTGGTTCAGCAGCCCAGTCCAGTCTCTGTCAGGCAACTTACTCAGATCCTCTAGGAGGCTGTTTTAATTATTCAGAGCACCATTAACATGCAGTATGTCAGCGAGGTGAGACTTGGAAATGTATAATGGAGGAGGCTTGCTCAATAAAACTTCAGCGAGGAGGGATTATTGATTTGCAAGCTTTTATTTGGATCTAGTTTCCTGGATTGAATCAAGCCTGAGGAAAATATATACTGTGTGAAAATATACTCTCCCACTAACATTTGGCATGCACCACATCTATCAATCACTCGACCATTTTAACTTACACTTTCATTGCAGCTGTAACTAACAATAACTTAACCTGAGCAGCATTTAGCCTAATTAGACATAAACAACAAAAACCTACCATCACACACATGGTCCCCTATTTTCTCAAGCTCGAGACAATCCTCATCATTCACAGGAAGCTTTAAAGGAGTTGTCATCTTTTCAGAGCAAAGTGGAGAGAATACACATGGAGACACAGCCCTGCATAAATAATGGTATTATAACTTAAATATCCTGTCTAAAGACAGCAATGAATCATTATGGCATTCTGTTTTTATATGAAATTAGAGAATCATGCAGTAATTGCGTCCCAAAGTGCCAGTATACTGAGGTTGAAAATGAACAAAACACATATTCCTTAATGAATTCTGTCAAATCATTCACTATTAAGATTACCTGCCTGTATTGGTTAAATATCCAACAGTGTAATCCGTAGCATCTGCAACTGTGAACCCCTCTGAGCTTGGACTTGAGCACCTCCCATCATCATGCACACACCCACATTGTGAGCACACTCCACATCGATCAATACTCGCCACTCAGGAAGCACAACTACAAATCTGTGATGGCATAATGCACGGAAGATCCATTCAATTATGGCATTATATGTCAATGGAAAGTCAAGCCAGGCCACTTATCAAACACCTGGATGCAGAAAGTAATGACAGACAGGACTTGCATAGAAAAAGCTTACCGCAATTTATTGCCTTGACTCCACCAGTGCTTCTAACACCACAATGATTTTGTAGGCCACTTATTATACCACATCTGCTGACAGCACATGGGCGAATTTATAAGATTTATAAAAATGGACATGCCACAATACCGCAGTGGAAAATTTGCCACCAAAACCATTTGCTTTCTTCCATTACCTTCCATTAAGAAGTCATTACTGTTGACTGAAAAAAATCCAGTCTAAACGACACAGCCATAATTTCATCATGCGAAGCAATGACTAAGGATCACCATCAAGGCAATCATAAAACCAGATCAAAGACACATAGACTATTCACATTTATCATGAGGAATTTATTATTCATAGAGATGCATTGGTTTACAATAATGGTAAATCTATATTATCTACTCTTACAGTTAGAGCGAATTCAGCAATGTCCGTGGAATGGGTGAAAAAGACCAACAAGTATAAAGAAGCTAAGTATTCTTTTGATCAATTAACATACCTTAAATACAAATATATCAGGTCACGTTGGCAGTGAACGTTTTCATTTTTAAAGTAATATTTTTTTTACTTCCTCTACAAATCTTTATGACTACTAAAATAAGATCAGGTAGCGTGGCCCCAGCATAGCATAAAGTAGCTATACAGAGGGAGAGAAACTGTTCATTGTGAAGTGCTAACTATCAATGTTCCCTTTCCTTTGGCTTCTCTGCTCATCATGGTCCTTTTGTGTACAGATATATAAAATAAGAAAAATCATGAACAGACAGTTTCACAAAATGAGAGCTAGATTAACAACGAAAAATTAGAAATGCTGATAAATACAAAAAAAAAAAAAAATCCCCAAGAAGAGTGTTTGGTTACGTAGATGAAGCAGTTGTTTTTGGAAACTTTTGGAATACAAAGTCAGACACGCCGTGAGTGAGGCGGCCTTGCAGCGGAGAGCTTGGACCTCATAGAGAAGGCACACGATCGAAATGAAGGTTGGGTCTCTCCGGACTGCCGTTGTCTTCATCTTGGTTCATCTCTGGGCTGTGGCCGTGCTCGTCTGTGCTCTCCGGAGATCCATAGGGATAATTTTCACTTATTTCCTCGTCCTCCTGCTCCTCTTTAATGCTGGTTTGATGAACATGCAGGAAAAAAAAAATGCAATCAGAACTTGTGATCACATAATTACATTAAATCACAGCTGTGTCAAACACACACAGGTATGGGAACATAGCTGTGGTGATGAAACTTACAAAGCTTGTGGAGGGGACTGTGTTGCACTGCTGTCGCTTTGGTATCCAGATCCATTAGCAAGGGCTCCATTCATCTGCTCTTGGAGAATATGAGGCAGGGAGTGTAATGAGATGCTGCCCATAGATGCTGGGTTGTAGAAAGAGTTGTTGCCGTCTAGACCACCACTCTGAAAAATGTAACATCAACAGCCTTTATATTTATAATATTGCAGCTGTAACAATTTTCAGACTACTGCAAAATGTAGTATAGGGGCACTGCTCTGCACTTCATCTTTGTATGTACACTGCAGAAGCCTCATGTTATACATACATCAGCTTAATTTATTATCCACTATTCAAATGTCTCTTACCTGATGAGCAGACCCAGCTGAGCTCTGACGGTTCTGTGAGTTCTTCAGGAGAGATCTATTAATACAGAGATGCAACAACAGTTATATTTAATTTAGCTTTAACACCTAAAGGAGCAGAGATAAGTATCACACTTTGGGGCTGGCATTGTACTAAGAACAATATTACTGTACATTAAACCCCCCCTCCTCTGAACAGCAGTTGTTTAATCATAGTTTAGCAACCATAACCAGGCATGGTGGGCCTGTCAAGCTTTGGATTTCTTCCCATGTTGTGTGCACCATCTCTAGGAACTACTCAGTACAGAGTGACACTCGAAAGTCATCTAAACTAGTATCTAAAGAGTTTGAAGGGGAATGTCTTTTTTTTTCTTTTTTTAAACCTCCCCAAAAACAAAAGAGCAAAAGTGTGACGAATGGATTAAACAGTGTGTTCGGTGTATAATATTACAATGCCCAGCGAAAACTGCTGCAACCTCAGCTAAACTCGTTATCTGGATAATGTTACATTTGCCCAACACAGTGATTAGTCTTCATCCTAAAAGCCTAAAAGTGAAACGTACTGAAAATATGAACAAAAAGCATAAATCTGACCTCTCTGTCTTGCTTATCCAAGCATGTAAAAGCTCAGCAGGCAAACAGGGTTATGTTATAATGAAATATCAGTCTGATCTTACATTTTTCCTCATCATACATAAAGCTGCTGTGCTTGAATGGGAAACATGAGAGGCGCAGCAACAGTAACTATGGGGGGCGGGGCTTAGTGAACAGTCTAATGCCTTCAAATTGCTGGCGCTATGAGCAACTGCCAATATACACACTGCGCCTAATAAAATACACACAAGTTAAGAGTTTGAGTCATCGTGGCAAGACACAGCAAACCAGATGGGATTATTGATCATCTACTGGCAGTGGTGTTCCAGAGGGATCAAGGTTGTGTGAAATATCTAGGTTCGGCTTGCAGACTGGCGCAACCAGCAACAAATGTGGCACTTTGCTATATTCGCAAAGGCATCTATTTGCTTGTATGAACATGCCAAAGACTTAGAGACTCCTTTGAAACCTTGCTTACAGTAAATACTGCGCCTACTGATTAGATGGAGCTAGAAGCTCAAAAATGTTAGCCTTCTTCTCACTTTGAGATATATCTAAAAAAAAAAAAAAAGAACAGAAAAACACACATGGTTCTGGCTTAAATTCCAAGGTATACCTACCCATTACCAGCAGTCTTCTGGGGCCTTCTTCTGTGGAACTCAATCTCATCCACTGTCCACACAGCTCCCTTCACATTTTCCAAACGTACAAAGCATTTATGGAGGCTGAGATTATGTCTGACGGCATTCTGGAAATTTAAAGAAAATAATACAATTAGGACTTGTACATACCTAAGTACTGAATTTATCTAGTTACATTAAAACTTAAAATTTAAACCTCATATAGACCTGTCCTGATTAATATGTTAATATCCAAAGTAATTTAATATGAAAGAGTTCATACCTTCCAAGTAGCTGCATTGCGCCTGAAATATGCAAAGTTTCTTGTGAACCAGTTGTAGATTTCATTTAATGTCAGCTGATTGCGAGGTGATTCAAATATTGCCTGAAAGAGACCAAGAGCATGTAAGAGAACTGGAAATAAAACAATAAAAAGGTTTGAAAGGCCAACATTGTCATGCAAAAAGGTGAATTCTTATTTTCAAAAGGTATTTTAATATTTTTGTCGCTGGTTAAAGTGAGTGAAGCACACATTACCTGTCTTATGAGAGAAGCATATGTAAATGGAGGTCTAACTTCTGTGCTCAAGTAGAACTCCTTATTATCAACTATATCTGTGGAAAGACAATAACAAGCAATATTTATACATAAACATATACAGAATGAATGGGAAACAATACAACTAATATATAATAAGTAATAAAACTGAAATAAAAGGTATTGAAAATAATAGAAAATAAACCCCTTCTCTCTGTCCCTATGAGTGTATGTTCACATGCATCTTAGCAGTAGCATGTTTCAGCTTGAGTCCTAGTTGCTCTGACTGTTACCTTGGCTCACAGAGCGGCTATATCGCCTCCGTACAGGGGTTCCAGTGAACAAGCTATTGGGAGTGAGGACTGAAGGGGATTCTGAGAGTGGCGTCAGGGGTGTGGATGGTGCTGTGGCACTCTGAGACACGCTCATCGGAGGAGGGCCTTTGGGCAATGTTGCCTGGGAGAAGGATACATTAGACACCAAATTGACCTGAAAAAACAAAGCAGTTAAGTCAGCAAAACGTCAGTGTAACTACAAGCAAAACAATATTTATTTTAATTGTATGAAACAGTCATAGCAGGTACTTACAGGCTGCGCTGCGGGTTTGGGTTCAGAGGACTTGAGATGAGCCATCATGGCTTGCAGTCGTTCTTTATCCTTTTTCAACTGTGTTAGATGAGAGGACCGAAATAGAAGTTGAGACTTTGTGAATTCACGGTTTGTGTTAAATGACGAAATGACATTCGGTGTGGGAACTACTTCTTTTCTGGCATCCTGCAAAGTGTAATTATCTAAAGACATCACTTCTGTTTCCAGGCCTGGTGTGAAAACACCACCACTGCTGACATTTAACAGGAATTCACTGTCAGAGTTTTTAGAAAACTCTTCCTTTTCTTTTTCAGTATAAAAAAGTAATAACCCTATCTACCAAGCAATGGTTAAATTACAGTTTTAAAAGTAAACCACTGTTAATAAATCAAAGATGTGTGGTCCCTTTTGTTGTTTGACTTAAATAGTTAATAGTTATAAGAAAATAAATCAAATACCTGCAGTTCCAATTGCTGAACCACTTGCATCTGAACACGACACTGTGCTGTACTCTTGTCATCCAGTGTGTGTTCACTGTTCAAATGCCTGCAG